TCGTGACCTAATCAAGGCTAGAGAACGATCAGAGAGCACGTTCGCGAGAGGGACGCAGACTGCGTCGCGGGCGCGAGCGGTCGCCTTCAATCGCCAATCTCGTTGAATCAAAAGGTATGCTCAGAGATTGCAAAAACCGGAAGCGCTGAAACAGATAGCCCGGCCTATGCTACCGACACGATCTCAGTAATTGAAGTGATGAAGAATACGATCTGATACAAGACAAACCTCTCTAAATCTTCTTTCCTCTTCCCGTTGCTTTTCTTTCTCCTCTCGTTCCTTCCTTTCAGCTTCTGCTTGTTGTTTCTGCTTCGCTAGGCATATGCTACAGTTGACATCGTAGAAGTGACTCAGATGTTGTTCAGTTGTGTCCTTAGCTCCGTCTCCAAGAATGGCATCTATAGTCGTCACGACCTTACGAGCATCAGACCGTTTCGAAGATGTCCGCCTCGGCTTGACTCCTTCGGAATTAGAGCGCGAAAAAGATGGATCTCTTTTCAAAGAACTTTTCGACACATCAGTTTCGGACATAGCAGCTCCTGATCCAGTGCCCTTTGCAACTTCGGCGACGCGTTCCACAGCAACAGGTTCTTCTGCTTCAGGTTTAACGTTCTCATTTGCTGCAGAAGTAGTAGCAGATACTTCCTCAGAAAGAATATTTGCTTCTTCCACACCCGATCCATCCTCTGTAAGGACCAGCTTAAATCATGCAATAACTGTGGAAAGAAATACAAACCATTAATGGGCGCTGCATATTCCGGTTTTCCCATGTCCGCTCCTTCCAAAGTCACTACTTTGTACACCGAAATCGCACCCGTTAAAACTCGGTGATAGAAACCCTGTAAGCAGAAGAATTCTTAAAATAATTTCTGCTTGATCGCTCTCAAACTAACTTTAAATGTTCCAAACAGCCATGCGGATGCATGAAAAAATAACCTTTAAAGAAGCTAAAAAATCTCACTTTGTTGCGATGATCCGTTACATTTTCAATAAACATTTTCGTCCAATTCTTATACTTCGGTGAGTTCGGATTCGAATTGCAATGCTTGAAAAGAGCTGCTTCCACAGCTTCGGCAGTGTCCTTACATAGTTTTACAGCAGATTTGATCTTGTCCATTTTTGCTCTGCAAACGTGATGAGAATACAAGGGTACTCAACAAATAAAAAAAGCATAAATTGAAAGGAAATTTGATGAATTTAGATATCAAAGATCAAAAAGATCCCTTGTACATCAGCAAACTAACCTTTTCACCAACGCATCCGAAAAGGCTCTTTTCACATTAAATCGAGTCCGGTCCGAGTCTTTCGAAAGTACCTTGCTAGCAGATTTTTTCTGCTCATGCGACGTATCTTCTAAATCGGTTCAGATATGGATGGGAAGAGAACTGAGGGAAGAATTACCACTTTTCGCATGCGTTTTCTTCCTCGCAACTGGTAGTACGGGCTCATATTCTGGATATTTGAAGATGAACTCAGCTAGATTCACTAAGGTAGGGCCTGTAGTGAGAAGTTGCCCGTCTCCTCGCAACAGTGTCAAAGCTCCATAGTCTTCGCGAAGAACCTCAAGATAAAAATTTTTACCTTCACCACCCTACAGCCGCCAGAAAATCCAAACCAACCTCGTGCGCTCTTGCCACTCTCCTTTCAATGCACTCTCGTGAGCACCAAACAGATGAAGGCCCCAAAATTTCCTTCCATTCAGGAGCGCAGTCATCAAGCCATCGCCCACACTCGACGCACGGTCTGTATAAATACAAATAAGCATAACAACAAGGCATTTGGGATCCGAAAAAATTTTGAGCAGGAGAGAGTGACAATCACAATTTTGAGTGAAGAGACATGATGTTACCTATACGTAATTTTTCGGACCCCAAAATTCTATGAATTTATAGCCCGAAAAAGTCTAGAAAAGGGGAAGGGGTAGCATCCACTCCAGTAAATTTTTTGGCATGTTTTCAATTTTTCAAAAAATTTCAAAGTATTTTCATACCTCAAATTCAATACAAGGCTCTCATGCATTTTTAAACCCATCCTAAGAAAGAAACTTTTGCGACTCATTCTCGAAGGGAAATCTGCCGGTTTTCTAAGCTAACCATTACAGTATCCTTATTTCTCCACAAAAAAATAACACTCTTCGCAGCAGAAACGGTCTAGACTTTAGTCCGCGCATAATAAGCTAATGCCGTACCTCACAAAATGAATCCGAACTTATTGAAAGTAAATAAGAATATGAACAGAAAACCTTACCTCTCACCATGAGATTTCTTCTTAGCCGTTGGTTTTGTTTGTGTGCTCTCATCATCACTAAAATATGAGGGCGATGATAGCTAAACTGTATTAAAGGGTAAGGACGTATGTCTAACTTAAGTTTCTCGTTATGAAAATTTTTTAAGTATCTCAAATTATGATTATAAGAATTGGCAGCTTAACAAAATCTGCAGTAAGTGGGCGAAAACTAACGAATGACGTCCAGACGATGAACTGGAGCAGGAAGATGACGATGAAGAAGAGCGCTTTCGCTTCCGTCCACTTTTCTCATCAGGTCTTATCTCTGTTTTTTCTTCTACTTCTGGTTTATCTTGTGAGGAGCTCGGTTCAACAATTTCCTCTTTGAGCTCCTCCTTGACTGGATCAACATCTGAGGAGAAAACTTGCACGTTCGGACACGGATCATAAAAGCCAGAACACTAACCTTGTGAGCTTGCTGATGGGGGCATTTGATCATGAGGGAAGTCCGATATATCTATGAAGAACTCCTTCAAGTCAAAGTGTTTGATAATCTTTTCCTTTGACCATCCTTTTATGTTGGTAGATGAACGCTTCTGAATCTTCTTTTGAAACAAAAAAA